CCGAGGTTATTGTGGGAAACCTACGTGAAGGCTTTGCTTACGGGCACTTTCCACCGAGTTCCTAACATTCATCAGAAACACTTTGCTAGAAATCAGTGCAAGAAGTAACAGAGGATTTCTATGTATGATGGCAAAGGTTAGTCTGTTTTTACTAATCTGAGTATTTTATGTTTGGCAGCGTCTCAAAACTTGTTTGTAAAGGGAATGAATAAACAAAAAAAATTAGGTTTGTCAAAAATAAATTTTTCAGAAACACCGTCCAAATAAGTCACTATCTAAAAATTGTCCAAAAAATATTCTGTACTCCCTAGAGGCTTGTCCCTCAAGGTATTGTATAGGCAAAGAGTGTTCTGGCACTCTGGGCTAAGAGTAGGTTCAGTGACCTGTGACTTTTCTGTCCTGGACATACAAGGAGGGACCCCCCCCCCCATTGTGTCTTTATTCTTACATGTTTAAACTTCAGTCACCTTCAAAGCACTCTCCATTGGTGCAATACACATATTGAGATGCTTTTTGAACCTGTCAGTTTTGAGGACTTTTAGTGCTTCTGCCGTTTTCTGTTTCACCTCTTCCACGTCAGCAACAATGTCCCCTTTGAGGGAAACATGCAAACGTAAAAGTCACTCAGGGCAAGATTCGATGAATAGGGAGTATAGCGCATGGGGGGGTCATGCTGGTTTGGGTCAAAAAAGCTGCTGGACACTCAGTGCGATGTGGGTAGGGGCACTTGTAAATCACCCGTCATAAGATGGGCAAGTGCATTGAAAGAATCTCCAAAAAGATTTTACTGAAGCTGAACGCAGCCTCTTAACCACAACACGAGCTGGTACACAGATGCCAGTGGGTTCCTAGACACTGACCTAGTGGGGGAAGCCTGCACTACAGGGGCCTGCCTTCCAGAAAATAATTCCCATGTGGGGGAGTTGCCCCTCATATATGTATTTCTTTATATATCTGCATAGTGTGATGACTGCAGGGAGAAAAAGCGTTGGCTTGACTAGTGCAAAGCCTGGTCACCTTTGTGGTTCTCCAGAGCTTACTCACAGGCCGTGTCATGATTCTGCCTGTCTCTGGGCCCTTGACAGTTTGGCAGCACTCCCTTGTATCCAATCCCTCATCTTGCCTGTGAAGCTGAAGGCCCAGACTGAAACTGCCCTACACTCATTAAAGTGAAAGAGACTTCAACACCTCTGCAGTCAACATGTCTTCTCCTCCTGGCTAGCCTTTCCATGTACTTTTCTTCTGCATTCTCTCTTCTTAAAAAACTATTGGTCAAATAAGTCTTGCTGATGCATAATATTAGTGCATATCTATGAGGTGTATGTGATATTTTGTTGCATGTATAGAATAGGTAAACAGAGTCATGGCACGTGCACTGTTCATCACCTCGAGTATTTATCATTTCCAAGTGTTGGAAACTTTTTAAGTCCTCTCGTCCAGTTATTCTGACATATAAAGTTCAGTGTTGTTGACTATGGTTACCCCACTTTGCCCACACTAGAACTTATTCGTTCTATCTGCTTGTACCCTTTGATCCAGCTCTCTTCATTCCTCCCCTCCCACCTTCTTTTGAACTCTTAAAACCCAGTTTTGTGATATTGCGTAGCTTCATTTCCCATCTTTGCTGTGAAATGGAGTTTAGCGTGAACTTAGCTGCCCCCTTCTATGAGAAGAGATAAAGTGTATCTTCAACAATTGAGAACACTGAATATCATTTCTTGCTTATGTATTTCCTATACCACTGACGCAGCTTTTCTCTAGTTAATAGATACACTAGTCAAGAGAGTATGGTGTGTTAGTTCAATAAACATTTCTGATAATTTTGTGCTTCTGCTATAATAAACACAAATTCCATAAGGCTGTGGTTGTTTTTAATCACCCTGCCATCACTCTGTTGGTAACTGATATATTCTGTCTTTAATCACATAAATTATGTACCACTATTGTACTTATTAATGCAGCCTCATTTGCAATTACCTTAATATTATTTTATTCTCATATTATTAAGATAAGTTAAATGGAACTCTAAAATGTACTGGCCACTTACCGTGTGCTTTAGCAATATTTTAAAATAGTTTTAAATCTGGACTTAATTTTCTCCCCTTTTGTTGTCACTATGATTATTATTTTCAAGAACATAGACATTACTTCTCTTTATTTTTGGAGAGAATCTGACTCTATAGTTTATAGTGGAAAAGAATAATATAGTTGTGAAGTACAGTGAAATAGGACATTTTTCTTTTCTACTCAGTCCCTAAGGGTGTGTTCAACATCCAATATAAAATAAAGGCATAATTAGCTGTTCTAAAGTAATTAAGAAACGCCCACTTTCTTCCAGTTCTCATCCTTACTTCTACATTTCACACAAGATGTCTGTGTGGCACCTGGCTACGTGTCTCTGGTGTGGAAAAGGCCGACGATCTGGAGTGCAGAGCTGATCAAGCAGTCTCAGCAGTGTCAAATGCGTGTCAGACTCTCCATCAGCATCTTGGAGTCACTCCTAGAAGTCTACACCAATTCCTACTTGTCGCCATTGAAACCATCACTGGATGAGAAACTGAAATTATGTGTTTGACCACAAAATGTTAATGTAGAGTGCTTAAAGAGACAATAAGGTCTGTTTTTGGTTTTTCTAAAAGCAAGTGTGTTTTACATAAATAGCTTTTTTACAAATTTGAAATGTGAATATATTTTATTTTTTCCCAGTGAGTACACAATACACAACTTTTTTGACAATAACTATTAACCAATTTTATGCCAATTTCTTTGCTGATCTAATAACATCAAATGAAATACACTAAATTTAGATGTCGTTTGGTGACTTAAATAAACTACAGTTAAAAAAATCCATCTATAAAACAAAGTTATAAAAAGTCTACCCACGGCCACAAAATCCCTTTTCTTGCAACACTTTGAAGTCACATTAAATGCTTTTGAAATTATGAGACTAAAAAATTAGTGAATTGAACGCCATTTTTTAAAAAAGTATGGTGTTTCAATTGAAGTACACATTAAAGAGAAGCAAAGCAAAGGCTACTTCACCTTGACGATACTCTGGAAAGACATGTCACTCTACACCAACTCTCGCCATGTAATTCCATCAACAATACACACAAGCAGATGAACACATTCGTGCATGTTGTGGTTCTGCATATCTTTAATACTGACACACAATCACTGAAGAGAAACCCAGTTAGAGCTCATTGGTATTGGTATCATTATATTGTCAATGGATGGTCACATAAACTTATTGAGTAGAAATCGGGAGGTGTGCCATCAGAGCATATTACAACCCTCCAACTCACATCCCACTGAAAATGCACGTGAGGCCCCGGAGCTTTGAACCAAGCCACAGAACGCCATTGCATCTGCTGTGCTCCTCACAGCAAGTCAGCGTGTCATGTTCTCACCACCCTTGGCTGTGTGATACCCTCCGTGTTGTTCCGGAATGTTCTATGCCCTCCCTTGAACTGGGTTCCAGTCCTGGGAGGGAATCGATTGCTTTCATGTCCCTGCACTGTCCCGCCTTACTTTAAAAGCTGCATGGCATCTGTCTGGAGGAGGGCTGGGGGACCCTGCCTGCCACACTGGCATACCTGAGTTGGGCACCGATACAGCTGTTTCCCCAGAGACTTGGCCTGCTGGGATCCAAGCTGTGCTCGTGTTGGGTGTGGCTGCACAGCAGGATGGCCTAGGAGCGCGAGATTAGAGGACACTCTCCCAGTCGGCTCCCTTCCCGTGGCTAGTGCGGGCTCTGCTTAGATTTCAGAAGTTGAGCTCTGTGACCTTCCAGCCACATTCGTTGAAGCAGCTACAGCACGAAAAACTAGGGTGGCTTTTGCCGCGCGTGCATCTGTTCACATGTGACTTGCACCCATTCGTAGCTTCGAACAGGTAGGCTGATGCAGGTGTTGACCGCGGTGGTGTTGGAATTCATCTGTGCAGCTACGCATTTCATCTTGGCCTTCACCTATTGGAGTCTGATATGTTGGGTACATGACTTGAGCGGCTAATTTCTTTAAAACTAGATTTGACAGGCAACCTGGGCGAAAAGAACCTTCCAAGGAAGCAGGGGTCTGCCCTGACGTGGTCTCTCTGTAACTGTTCATCCCACTGGACTACGACAGTCAGGAAGCGCTGCGGGTCTACACCGCCTGCTCCACGGGCCGCCTGCACACTCGCTTCATTCCAGGCCTCGGCGTCTCCATCGCCCGCCCCACGAGGCACCGGGGACTCGAGGCTGCGTGTGCTGTGCGGCGAACCAAGGTGTCAGACGCTGCTGGGCCCCAGAGGAGCGTGAGGGGGGAGCACACAGACACAGCCCCTTAGACGTGTGCTTGCCTTTAAGTGGGGAAAGATGGAGCAGGGGGCTGCCGAGATAGGAACGCGAATGCACCCGTCCCAGGGTGGCGAGTGAGGACATGTCCGTTCTGCGGAAGCTCTCCCCCTGCCTCTGTGTCACTGGCCCCGAGACAGCGAACTCATGAGGATCCAGGTCCTGGTGAAACATGTCCATTAAAGGGTGCGGGAAGCGTGTCTCGGGACTCCGCTCTCGTCCACGGCACCACGAGTCTGCTGGGGCCACGGAGGACATCTCGCCCTCCGCTTGCCTGTGTGGACGCGGGCTCAGGGAACCCAGAGGACGGGGCCACGCAGCTCCAGCCTCCTGTTCTGTCCCAACACAACACAGGCGGGGGCTGAGCCGACGATGTGGATCTGCTCCAGGGGTCCCGCAGTTTGGACCCGAGCCCATCATTCCATGGAACGACACGTCAGAGGACAATGAGCAAGGAGAGACAGCAACGCGCTTCAGGACTGTGTGGGAGCACATGGCAAATGCCACGATGGGAACTTTCCGGAAGGTTCTACGCAACTGGCTGCCCGCACCTGTACAGTCGCTGACACAGACTTCACAGTCACATTCATTCTGAACCTACAGGGCTGATGCTCGGGAACTTCTCGTTCTCAAAATCGTGAAAACAAACGACGCGGGACAATCGTTCATGTCCACTTACAAGGTTTGGTTTTATTTAAAAAGTTTATAAACATGCATTTTTCTCCCTTTTAATTTTTCTTTTCAACTTACCCAAAGTGGGTCAGATGTATTTGAGCTGGTAGCCAATTTCTGAGAATGTACCATAGAATACTCATTCCAATAAATCGGCTCTCTGTGAACAGAACATAGTCCGAGCACTGCTTTGTGAGCACGTGCAGAGGTGGCTACCCATCTGAAGGCCTAAGCTCCGCTTCTTAATCAAATAAAACACAGGCCTGCCTCTAGACTGTGTTCTTGCCACAGAGTCGAGGGTTTGAGGGGCATGGCTCCCCGCTCCACATGGGCTGCACGTGCATTCGAGAGAAGAAACAAGAGACTGCAATAGAGTGTGTATTCGGAGCAGCCCAAGTATGCCCTAGCAACAAATTGCTTCTTTGACTATTTGCCGGATATTCTGGAGTTCGTTTTGCTTCTTTCCTTAGGGACCCTCCTATGACATTCTGACGTAAAGAGTTGCAGTGATTAATTATGTTAATTCGGAAAATTCTTTTAAAAACCTGTACTACAAATACGGTTCCTGCGAAACACCTTAATTTAGCTTCCTTTTGCTTGCTGGCATTCTTAGATGGGTCAGTTACAATGAGAGGTACAGTCAATGCTAAGTAAAACTTTCATGTCTTTTTTTAGCAAGTTTAGCACATCTTTGCTACCTGTGTATTTCAACGCATCTTCAGCCTTGAGACTTCAACTTCCTGCCTATGAGCCCTGCTTTTGTCAGTAGCAACAGCCCCCTTTCTGGTTTGATTTTCACGCACTCAGTCCCTGATACTCAGAGAAGACTTGCCAACACCCTCGCTCCTTTGCATCTCGCTGTCTCTACCCGCCAGTAAAACCCTCTGCGGGATGGGTCACGACCCGCGTCCGCCCACCAGCTCACAGTCCAGAAACTCCCTTCACATTCAGTCTTTGTCTTCATGTCACGAGGAGTAGAGATTTGTGCTTATCACCAAAGAAAATCGCAGTGCAAAATCTAAACATAAAAGTCACACAAGTAAAAGTTAATATATGGCACCACAGCCTATGAATTCACATAGAGTACAACAGACCAATAAGGACAGACAAGAGTATGAACAGAGCCAGAGAGGGTGAGCTTGCATAGCAACGCACAAAGAAATTATATACAGAGGAAATCCTTTTCTTCCTGGAGGGTGAGTTCTGCTTTCCTGCTTTTTCTGGACTCCTGACAAGAAAGAGTTAAGGTGGGTGGTGTACTTAGAGAAGAACACGAGGAAAACATCTGTGGGATCTGTGTGGCTGTGAGTCTCTGCCATTGCATTTACAGTTCGTTCATAGTACATAAATAAGGACATTGTTCATTGCACTGGGTGTGACATCACTTCCGTGAGTTGGGACCCGGCGGCCCTTCGGAGCAGCTTTGTGTGTCTTCTCTCGGTTACTCTGAAAGAGACAGACAAAAACCCGGATTGGAGCTTACATTTCAGTGCACTTCCACATGGCCCAGCATAACCAAGAGCAAAGCCGCCAGACAATCCACAAAAATAAGGTCGTCCGTTGGATTGCTTGCGTTCGAGAATGTAAGTAATTTTATGTGAAGGAGATGAGCAGCCAAAAGAAAAGAAAAGAAAAGAAAAGAAACAATATGCTATTTGGAAAATTTGAATTCAAGCATAACTACTTTTGGACCACTGTGAGTCAGTCATTATTTTAAAATAACAGTTAAAGAAAAACCCAAGTAGCTTTCCATCGAATAAAAATGACAGACACATCTTCATTGCCAGATCAGCAAGAGCCAACAGTGACGACCGTGACATCAAGACTCAAGTCTCCAGCTTGGGAGTCACGTTCCCTTTCATCCCCCACGGAACCCTCCAGCAAGTTGATTTCTGGCCGTGAGACACAGAACTGGTAACTTTCCCGATGAAAGTAGCACAAGGAGCGCAGTGTATTTGACTGGGACATTTTTATCACCCAGTATTTTGCATTTAGAAAACAGATGAGCTATACAACCTCCCCACGCCAGCTCTTTATTCATAAAGAGAAATTTATTTACAAGATGTGATTATGATCAAATCAGTGCAAATTGACTAAAAATCAGAAGTCAACTCTTCAAGGCTGACTACTCAAATTTACAAAACTCAGTAAGCTGAGAGCAAGCGGAGAATGAGGAATTCCTTGGGAGGGCTGTTAAAACTGCCAAAAGGCCAGGATGCCCTCCTTCCTTTATTGTGCTCAGCTAGAAAGGCAAAGAAACCGACAGAGCGGACTGCTTTTAGTTTCACGTGTACATAGTAAGAGTCATCGCCTAAATGAAAACCATTTTCTACAGCGCACATCAAACTCGCAATAGCAGAAGTACCTATTTCATGGACTCCCATAAACAAGGAGCGTGACGACCAGGCTTACTCAAGATCCCAAACTGCTGTTTCTGTGTGGCCGGGCTCCATGAGCCGGAAACTTGCTGACGGTGCGGCCGTGCCATCGGTCCAGAGCTCCCCCTGCACCCCCAGCCCAGGAAGCCCCCAGGGGCACTTACATAATTCACCTGTAAACTGTCCTTGGCCGCTGGGGCCCACGTAGCCCATGTCAAGAAGGTCACCGACGCTGCGCGGGGGACCGCCTCGCAAGGGCTCCGCTTTCCTGGGGCCAGTGGAGCCTTTAGAGGAGGCCGTGCCCGAGGAACTGTGGCCGCCCGGAGAGGGGAAGCTGGGCTTGCTGTAGGGGACCAAGGTCTCGTCTGAAAGAGAAGAAGCACAAGGGCTGCGCTGAGCAGCCGCGTGGGGCCACGCGGGATGACGCTCCGCACGGGCTATTTCGGCCGCGCAGGCTTGAGCGGAAGGAAAATGACGCGGCCTAATCGGGGCCGGATATTAAAGGAATTTCCACGCGCAAGCAACGTTTCCTACAATGGGGCCTGAAGCAGGATTCAATGAAGAGAGATCTCGGGATAAGCTCACGGCCGTGGACGGTATTTGCAGAATTTAAATTCATTTTGAGAGAGCGCGGCACACAACGAACCACAGTTGGCGTAACCGAGGCGCACCTGAGCATAATCTCCAAAGTTCAGTGAGGCTACCACTTAATTTTCTTGTTAAGAGTCAAGTGACATGGTTTTTGTTTGGGGCTTAAATTATGGCAACCTTTTCTCAATCGATTTAGATGAAGAACGATGTATGAGTTCATTACGTGCGCTTTTTAAATTTGGGTTGTTTCTTGGGACAGAAGTGCGTTATTTCAAGGCTGCGTATTTCCTGAACAGAAAAAGAGAAACTCACACCGTTGAATAAGCAGCATGCCAGTGTTCCTTTGTTGTACTTCCTCTCTGCAAATAACTCACAATGTGTTGCTATTTAGTTACTTACCACCCTGAGCCGTTTATCGTCGTCTTCCTCTCTCATTCTCCTACCTCTCTCCCCGCCGTGTGCTTGTTTCTCTTTCTTTCTAGGTGTGGGCCATCGCCACAAGATCCATGCCAACTGAGTGTGCTATTTCTGGGCTTGGACAGTCCTTCACCACAAGGGTCCCGCGACTCCTCCCTCACGGCCTGAATGACAGAACCCTCTTAAGCATGTCACTACATGGAGAAATTTAAAATGGTCATCTTGGGGCCCTTACGCAAATTGCATTTCCCAAAATCTGAGCACTGAGTTGTAGCAAAATGTGAAGACGGAACGACGGGCAGAGGGGACAGCCTGCCGGGAAAGATGAAGCCCACCCAGCGAAAGGCATGAGGACATTTTCTCCAAAGCTGTATGGACGTGTGCAGCTGGCTACTCAGTGAGTCCTGCCATGCAAAGATGTCCCGGAAAATGTGTTTCTACGTCAGGCTCCCGCACCAAGAACACGTCTAACCACAAACTGCGAAATGAATCCCGTGACACTTCCAGGAAGCTCCATCTGCAAACGAGAGCTTTGCCCGTGAAGTGCTAGCAAGTAACCTTCCTGACTAACAGTTGGAGAGAGCGCAGGCCTTGTCGAACCGACCTCACTTGAGGATGCTGTGATCGGGTGTGTCTTTGCAGCTCTGTGATTTCCATTAGCTCGCCACCTATCTGACTGACGTGAGTTCTCCTTTCAATAACTGGTTACTACAGTCAAACTGAATGAACTGGTTGCAGGCAGAGATTGAAGTGACACAAAAGGTGGTCTAAAAAGTACGCAAGATAGACACCAAGAGGCCAATGCCACCTGTGTCCTGCGTGCCCCAGAAGGGTGTGAGGCCTCGTGGGCTCACAGATCTGCAGGGGGCGGCTTTGGGGCTCAGCCCCTCCGGAACCAGCCGTGGGCGCGTGCTGGGAGCACGGCCCAACAGCCTGACTCAGCACTTGGTGGGAGGCAAGGATGGCTCGGCCCCCCAACTGCCACTTCTAAATACCTGGTGGAGAAAGCGGAAGCTGTCCCCACCTTCTCGGGACTCGAGAAAGCAATGTGACCTTTGGAGCAGCACACACCTGGGCCGGCACCTGGCTTGTGTGGGGCCTTTCGGACATCGTCCTGGCGGTCTGCGGCGCGTGTCCACTCCTGTGCGTGCCGCGGCCACTCTAGGGAGGCTCTAGCTGCAGCGTCCAGGGAGCCGTCTGTGTCTTCCACGTGGGACGCGGGCTGTCCCTCTAGGGAGGCTCCTCGCCCCTCGGCTGCGGGGTCCGTGCCGGCAGCCTGCTGGCTGGGGCCTACGAGCTGCCTTAAACCCTGACCTGGTGGGGGGTCTGGTGGTGGCGGAAGATCTAGAAATTGTGAAGAACGTTTAGAGGGGGCTTACATTCAGTGAGAAACACATGTTCTGGTTCGATGCCCTCCTACAGGCGTCCCCCACGTAAAATAAATGGGGGCATCACAGTCAGCGATTCCCATCCACAACGCATACTCGTGGTCTCTTTGCCGCCCTTGGGCCCCAGCGCCACTGGGATCCAACGGGCTGGCTTTGCCCAGGTGGCCAATGTGGACAGTGCTGCCAGCGGTACACGCAGGCTGTCACTCGAGGTGTGGGTGGCAGTTCTTGGGTCGTATGCAATCCATTGTCCAGCCCTCCCTTCCCAAAGTAGAAATACCGTGACACCAGAAATCCCTAAGAACAAACGCTTTCCTGCCAGTCTCCACAAAAGGTGTCACTCTCGGGAAATCAGGAACAGCATGCTGTCATACATGACATGTGACAGCCCTTCCTCATACACATGGCCAGTTAGCCACCATCTCAGGGTTAAGCTAACATTTATTAAACACAATTAACATTCGCCTGACAACCAATTCTGGCTGTTCGTTTCATGAGTTAGCTAATGAGTTACAACTAATACATTATCATCTTCCAACATATTAACTTTCGTAAGTAATAACCAAAGCTCAGAGCACAGATTGAATATGCTTTATGTTGCCAGAGGAGACGATGCATCATGGAAATCTGACAGGTAGTATCTAGAACAGATAATTTTCTGGAAAAGCTCTTTCAAATAAATATCAGATAGGAAAAATTAAAAGTTCAAGTGTCGGCTGATTTTTCATTTCCTTTTTGTTAACTCTTAGATTGTGATACTTTATATTTTAGAAATTTTCAGTTGTGAAATCATAGTCCTTTTTTATAACCTTTAAGTTTGTGTTAGTTTTGAAATTACTTTGCTGAAGATTTTGAAATCTTCTGAACATTGATTTGGATCATTTTCTTCTAGTTTTCCTTGCATGCTACTGCTAACCTCTGTGTTCATCCTTAGAGTAATTATTTCCTTTATTCAAAAAGGCCGAATACCACTGATTCCATTCATAGAGGCTACTGTCCATATTCTCAGCAGTTACTTCCCATGCTCTTTTTGGAAATGTGTTCTCTTGTTTCTAGGAATATTCTGTTTGTGGACTTCAGGAGGGAAGTGTATAAATGCCTTGTACAGAAGAAAGCTTCCTCAAGGGAAGGCTATGCTTTTTTAAGACCTGCATAAGCTTCACACACTCTGCTACGAACAAATGGATCTGCTCCTCCACTGAACCAATCACAGTGGCCTCCGAGCATCCACCCCAAGTCCCCAAGTCAGGGCAGCATCCCGTCCTTATATACATCCTCCTGTTGGATTACGCATTGCTGATGATTTTGTGCATGGCTGATATTGAGGGAACAGGCTCTCTGCCTGGGAGAATAAAGTTGCACTTGGAACATTTCTTCAAAAATGAAGAGCTAATCCAATATCGAGATATCTGTTTGTCTGATAATCCAATGAGTTTGGTGTTTCCTTTACATTCGGTAGGACTGACTTCCTTCATTATGTATTATTATAAATGCAAATTAATTATTTCATTTGAGTTATTGGACTTAGACTGCCAGTGAGGAGAAATTATTGCATTTGGTCAGAATAACATAGCTTGTCATTGATTTTATTCTCCATCAGGGAAACGTAATTTTTAAAATGACCAAAATGGCATCTGCTTAGGCCAGCTAAAATTCTGATTACTATTTAATTTGATCTAAAATTATACAGCTTCATAATTAAGTAATATCCTTGGAGTGTGTATATTCTAAGAAGAAAGGACATTGCATGCACACTGAAATGAACAAATTGGAAAAAGAGATGGGATTAAGAACGATGTAGAAAAAACCAAAAGCTTATAATCAAATATATTTACTGAAATTAAATTTAATATTCATCTATGTTGACTCATGGCAGCTAAGTCAATTCACTGCAGGAACTCGTTCTGCCTGCACACAGTGTCCAGGAGACAGGTGCCACCCTCCTCTTCCTCTTGCGGGGATGCGAGTGGAGACAGGAAGCCAACGCTCTCCAGCCGGGATCCTCCCGCCAGCACCGGACGCACGGAGCCACATCCAAACCAGAAAGCGCAGAGTTGTGTTCAAAAGGCTGCTCACACGTCACGTCCCAGCGGGGCCCTCGGCCGTCCTCCAGGACGTGTGCCTCCTTGGCCGACCTGCCCCACCCCGCCGCCATTCCACCCTAACCGGCCAAGACTCTGGAGGGCTCTGACGTCCTCGCCGCATGGCCTCGGCGAGTCTCATGGACGGCTGCCAGCCCCGCCTCCAGAATCCAGCCTCCCGCATCACACCCACGGACTCCAGCTTGGGGTGACCCCCACGTCCGTTCCCTGCGTGCTCCCACAATCCTCGGCGAGAGCCTGGGTGTACACCTTGGCCCCGTTTAGTGCGTCACAACGCAGCAGGCAGAGTGACTTTTAAAAATAAAAAACGTCAGGAAGATCATGTTTCTCCTCTGCCTTAAACACACACACACTCGCATTCATACACATGTGCATGCACACTCATGCCCGCACACATACATATGCACCCCCATGCACACACACAAATGCAACCCATGCACACACGCACATGCACATACCCATGCACACATGTGCACTCATACACGCGCACACACATACACACACACACTCTAGTGGCTTTCCATTCAAAGTGCACACACACGCGTGCACACACACACACACTCTAGTGGCTTTCCATTCACAGTGAGGGCAATGTCACAACAGCTCTTGGAGGTCCTTGGAGCACAGCCCACCTGACCTGCCTGATGCCCCGCTCTAGCCCACTGCCCCCCACCACTACGTCTCCTTCCTTGTCACCCAGCAAGCCTCAGGCTTCCCTGACACCTGGAATGACCTTTCCTCAGACATCAATACTGCCCTCTGCTGAAATCCTTCCCGTCTTTTCTCGGAGGTCAACTCCTGGGAGAAACCCTCCGGAGGCCCTGCTTAAACGCCTCCTCTCGACACCTGAGCACCCCAACTTCCTTTGTGTGTCTCCCCGCAGCATTCATCACCATCTTGCCGATATTTTTAATGACGAAACACCCATAACCCTTTGTGGAATGCCGGCAAATCTGAAAATTTAGAAACCTAATTGTTTTGTAGAGATGTAAGCAATACATTGACCATGCTTTAAACTGGGAGGCGGCTTGCTTTAAGCCAACATTCTGAGGAGCTTGCAACAAAAATGTTCTAGGAAGAAAACCAGGTCTCTATTTTGTTGAGTTACATTGTATATCTTCCACATCTTCTTCTGAAAAACCACAGAAAATATATTTACCTAGCTTTTATTTTTCTCTTTCCACAATATCCAGATCAGGAAAGCTGACACAACGATTACTTTATACGTGTGCAACTAGCAAACCAGTGAGAGCAGTCCTCTTTGTTTAGAGCGTAAGATGGACCCTTCAGCCTGCTCCGGGAGCCCACTGCCTTCAGGACACGTGGGCCGAAAGGCAACCCCACACACGTCTACTTAGAAGGAGTCAGCACCTCCACGGCACCCTCAGCCACCACACTCGGCAGAAAAGCTTCCCAGTAAAAGCGAAGTGGGCTGGAAGGGGAGCGAGCCTGAGGGCTTCCAGAACAGTCTGTTTGGCTTTTCAGTCTTAGCATTGCAAGGTCACAAAAGAAAGCACAAAGGTGGCTGCAAGCTAATAAAAAACAAACGCTTTTCTTCTTTCCAACCAAGCTTCCTCTGTCCTCTCGTGCTGAGTGTGGGCATGTGCTGGACCAGGTCAGAGCTTCTCCAAGCTGGATGGACGTGCGGTTTGCCGGTGGCACCTCAAAAGTGCCCATAGCTGGGTTTACCCTAGAACACGTAAGTCACAGCCTCCGGGGCATATTCTAAGAGCTCTCCGGAGGGCTCCGATGGGCATTTGCAGTGCATCCTTTTGGTGTTTAACAGAACTAGTGCCGGATAAAGCCTGTGTACTTACAGGGGATCGTACAAAGAAGGAGAAAGAAATTTACCTTTAAGTCTGATGTCATACAAGGCAGTTTACGTGCCTTATGTTACATATTCCTAGAGTAAATCTTCAGGATAAATATTTTTATTCACACTTTAAAAGGTATAAGAATTATGTTGAAAATATAGGAAATAGACTATGCTCTGGAGAGTTGATGGAACACTCATTGTTGAACGCGGACACCTCCTGGCAATATTACGTTTCCTGAAGCTAGCAGTGTTTGAGTCAATATTCCAAGGTTGGATGTCACACATAAACAGAAAGACTGAAACAGATCAGCAATCGATGGCCCATGGGCCAGATCCAGCCGCTGCCTGTTTTGTCAAGGATGCTTTATTGGAAATCAGTGACACCCATTCTTTTATTTCTTCTCGAGTTGCACTCCTACAGTAACAGTGTTAAGTACCTGTTGCAGAGACCACATGCCCTAAGAGCCCAATGTCAACTCTCTGGACTTTAACAGAAGATGCTGGCTGGCCTTTTGTTATGGGGTGAGTGTTTGTGTGCCCCCAAAATCCATACGTCAAGATCCTAACGCTCAGTGTGGTGGTACTGGGAGGTGGGGCCTTCGGGAGGGGACAAGGCCATCAGGATGGAGTCTCCACGAGTGGGGTTGGCACTCTCGTAAAACATATCCCAGACAGGCCCTCACCCCTCCCACCACAAGAGGACACAGTGAAAAGGCACCGTGTATGGACCAGCAAGTAGGCCCTCAACAGACACCAAATCTGCCCGTTACTTGATCTTGGGCTTTCCAGACTCAACTGTGGGAGATACATTTCCATGATTTACAAGCTACTCTGGTTATGGCACAGTCGTGTGTCTCCTAACCATGGAGCAAGTTCTGAGAAATGTACCACTAGGCAACTTCGCTGCTGTGCAAACACACTAGAGTGTACTTACACATACCCAGAAGGCAGAGTCAACCACACACCTACACGATGGAGTACCTACTGCCTGTTGCTTCTAGGCTACACATCTGGACAGCATGCAGTGACTCCTGTAGGCAAGGGTAACACAATGGCAGGTGTTGTGTACCTAAACATAAAGCAGATACAGCAAAAACTAGGCATTCTAACCTGATGAAGCCATTGTCACATATGCCATCTGCTGTTGACCAAAACATGGTGCATGGCTGTATTCTGTGACAGCAGTCCAAACAGACTAAGACCCTCTTCAACTACATAGCCCATGGTATGCGTTTAGCTCTGAAATCCAGGAAACTGAAAACTACTAAATTATTTCAGTCTTTTTTTTTTTTACAAAAATAAATACAAGCTAAGCTGCCATAATTCAACATTATCAAAGTTTTAGAAAGCGCACTCCCCTTTATGCTTTCTTTTCTACTCTTAAGGTGAGCCATTCGTTCAAAAGCATTAATAGAAAATGCCAGGATGGCAGAAAACTCAGCCTTGAAAAGTAGTGTGGCATCTATGTCTTGGGCCTTGATAACAAAGACATGATCCCAGGTTGCTAAAAAAAAAAAGAGGGTGCTTCATTTCAGCAAGGCCACACTGCCAGGTTTCTGCCTCGTTATATAAGGAGGCAGCGACTGATCGACCGGGATGACTTTATCCAAGTCAGTGAGCAAAGGGCAGAAACTCACCATCTGTCATTCCTTCCCTTCGGTGAGGCAATGCTGGCTGTTGGTCCATCCGCCCACCCTTGTGTTTTTTGGAGGGCCGAGGTCTCGGATTTTGACTCGGGGCTGCACTGGTGTTACCATCTGCAGAAAACGGGCTGGTGGGTCGAGGTCTCTGAGAGGAGGGAAAGGCTTTTCCTAAAAAGAAAACAAAGGGAATGGGGTATGGAGAATGTCATTATCACACACTGAGTTTGTCTTGTATTTCTGCTCTTACTGACCTGTAAACCTACCTTGAGATGCCATCTGAAGACACTAAGTATTGGTGCATCTTTGCAGAAAAATATATGCCCAGCTGCATACAGTCTGGCTCACTTTTAATAAGCTATCGATACCCCCCCAGCGTGCCAAAATTCAAACAAATGAACCGATCTGCCAATCAAAAGCTCACTGTTGCTTGATTTTATTTTTATTTAACCTTGACAATCTTACTGATATTTTCATAGATATATGCAAACGCATGCAGCTTTTACTTCTTAAAATTAAAGAAGTTATTTCTGAAATAAAGTGTATACTGTCTTATTTGTTTAATCAAATTTCATCCCTGGAATCTTACAAAATCTCTCTGAGGACAGAAAAATGTCATATAGTAGTTCCTTCTGGAATTTTAAGGAAAAGGTCTGCTCAGACACATCTATGACCTTGACCTCACCACCTGTGCACACACACGACAAGTTCCATCTCTTTTGGCAGAAACTCGATAGCATTCATGTGGAGGATGGCAGGTGAAAATCACCTTGTACATCCGAAGTGCAATAGGTGTTCTCTGATGAATATTATTGTGTCTGAGCAGACTCCAGATTCTCACTGAAAAATGAAATGTGCTATGTCCTTTCCTGGTGGCTTAGTGTACATATGCTGGGAGATTTATTCTGGGACGAGGTTAGCCAATACATTTCCAACAGCTTATGATTGTAATGCTGTGTTTATTATAGTAAGAGAGGTCTGCTTTATGGGCCTGTGTTTATTCTCTTGTGCTTGTTCTCATTGCATACAAAATGACTGTGTGTAGGTACATTTTCTTAAGTCAATGTGATGTGATATTGCTTAATGGTTTATTAGCTATTAGCATACATGCACAGGAAATGCACTTATGCGTCTAATATATTAGAGTCCCTGCACTTTCTCTGCTCTGCTCATAGCTAATGCCACAGAAAGCACTCAGACAACATCAAGTTTCTGACTTATGCCTTAAAAAAGCAAGAAAATTCAAATGACAGTTATATGACAACATATTTTAGTTGGGATGCTATGTAAAAATAAACCTCTGCAATGCAGAATGACTTTTTAATTTTGTTTGAAGATATCTAACACATGCTCAAAGGCAACACGGATGGTATAATTCAAAGGAAACTTCCAGGACTCGTTTTCGCAAACTGGGAGTTTAGTGAAAGGTCAGAATCATATTTCTTTACTGCTTGAATACTATTAAAGTTCCACCAAATGCACTTATGGTTGCATTAGTTTATTTTGTAAGTAGCTCAATTTAATTCATGCATAAGAATGTCCTTATGTGTAAAGAATTCTACATATATCCAAATCTGAGAGCACGCATCATACCCAAGTTGTTTTGTTTCAGCAAAACAAATGATTACAAATTGCTGATCTATGATTAGACATTTCTTTTTTTGTGGAATGAGCAGCACATGAAAGAGGACATAATTGGCCTTTTATTTTATTACTTATCACTCTCAGAAATCAAAATTGAATTACTCCAAAGAGCAATACACACGCCGTCATCACTCTACACGGCTTGCAGATGCAGTGGGTGTATCTTTAATTAGCATCCTTTAACACAGCTAATACACTATTGTATTAAAATCTTAACAGCCCAACAATTAATAAGCCCACGAGCCACGTGAAGTGAAAGTGCCCGTTAGAGCGAGAGCACAACCCGCCCCCATGCCGAGAAAGCCTTCCCAGAAAGTGCATTTGCAGAAGAGTCGGGCACGGCAAGTGATGGAGACAGGGGCTGGATGATTTTAATCACCGGCGGATTATCGATCGGGTGAGGATTTTGCAAAGTGTGAGTTATTGGAAATTTAATGTCAATCTGAGTGGCTGCCTCGCTGCAGTGTAAAAAGGAGGCATGTTCGAAATAGTCAGCAGAGCCCAAAGAAGAAGGGAACGGGGGAGACAGGGAGTGGGAGCCCGGGCTTGCTCTGGGCCTCGGCCTCAGAAGAGTGTCAGGGACAGGGGGTGTCTGGGCCCACGGCAGCCAGACCCACGAGGAGGAGGAAGCGTGGGAGGAGAAGGCTAGTGTCCGGGGTCCAGGCTCTCATGCAAAGACTGCTGCTGCGAGCCACCAACCTGCTCTGGTCAGGCCAGTCCCGTCCAGCCTAAAGCCAGCCTTATCTGCTGCGGCCACCAGTGCTCTTGCAAAACTGCCACTGGCAAAGACGGAGCCCTCCGAGGAGCCGCCTGCGCTAGATCTACGGCTAGAAAAGCTACGATCCTCGTCAGACGCAGAGCCCCAGCCGTTGGCCATTGAACCTAGAAACAGAGGCAGTGGGCTCGTGAGTCGTACGTGCTGGGCATCGCCTCCTCTACACATGCACGCTGGCCGCGGGCAGGCGGCCTCCACCGCCGGCCTCCTCCTGAGCCTCCCGGAGACCCTTTGCCCAACGTGACACTGTCCAGGCCTTGGACAGTCTCAGTGCGGGCGGGTGACGTGCATGCAGAGCCTGTGTCTGTTTGCACGTGACCGAAGCACGCTCCACAGGGCTTGGCCAGTACAGCGTCCAGGTCATCACCGAATCGTTTTCCAAGAGAATTACTGTGCATGCCCTAAGTTCCTACAATTCGGAAATAAACACTTACATTAAAGCAAGTCCTAGTGCCTGTAAACATGTCAAGGGCTCAGTTAAAGAAATGACGTGACTATGTGTTGAATTTAATTCCGACTCCAGTGATAAACCTGCACAAAAACTACACTTGAATACCATAAAAGAGCTACACTTATTTTAAGATTTTAAAATAAAAACATACTCACAAAAGAGCAACAAAAATTCACAAGCAAAAATGCACAATGTCAAGGCAAATACATTTAGAACACAGGAAAAATGTATTTTACAAAAGTTCTATTGACTTCAAAGCTCGTTATGCTTTCTTTCTTTGCCTTTTAAATTATTTTAATAGCACCAGTTTTCTCATTAACACTAAGATTTATATTAAAAATTAACTCTAGTAAAGAATATCATCAGCAGTAATACAGATTTTTCTGCAAAATGCAACATGGCAACAGAGGAAAAGATCGCAGCTTTATGTGTGAAGAGCTGTAAACGGCAAAGATGCTCAGAGATAACTTTTATCCTTAATTTTCTAGCAAGGTACTTAAAGTTTTGTATCTTTTGTTGGACAAAAACATACCTGCGAATTGTTGGAAATTTAGTGGCCATCTGAGTGGCTAGTACTCATAGCCTAGTACTTAATGAAGTTAATATCACAACGATGACTTAAATTGGCGCACCACTCGCTCACAACATAACGAACTGCTGATTTGCTGACCCTACATTCTGTTAGAAGAGGAGCAAAAAGTATTGGCAAAAAGCTCTTTAAACCAAACCCATATTTCCATCAAAGAGATGAAAGTCAAGTGCAGTGGGCCAGTCCCCTTTTCTCTGTGTTCAGGAGACAGCAGGATAGCTGGGAACGTTCAGGCGGTACTTGTCATTTTAGCCCCTCTGCAGGTACAGTGACACGGACTCGTGCACTCTCGACAGTAAGCAGTAGCTGACGCTGTGTCACGTGGGGTAGAGAAAGACGAGTTGGGATTCCCCTCGCCAGGAGCACAGAGATACACTTTCTACTTTCCAAACAAACTCCTGGCACCGGCCACTGCAACACAGCGGAGATGACCCCGGTGCCGGAGCCTGGGCTGGAAGCTTTGTCTCGGCTAGAACCACAGGTCAAGGACCAGCAGCCCCACATGAAAGACAAGGGATGCCACAGGGCTTGCGATGGGATGCTGCAGCAGATAAGGGGTCACCCAGCAAGGGGTCACCCAGGGAGCAGGAAGCTCCCGCATTGGGAGAGTTGCAGACCCAGCAGCTGACGTTCCTACCCTTGTGCTGACCTCTGGATTTCCAGGCACTTGTTCTGCACACTCGCCTCTGATGCTTCGTCCGCAGCCTCACCTCGAGCTCCCCCACCTGATGGCCGTCCCGTCCCTTCCCGCCTCACTGCCCTCACGCGATCCTTCTGAAGCACGTGCCACGTGCCCCTCTGTTCGCAGCCTCGCCTCGCGGGCCAGCGCCCATCAAGCTCCTCAGGGGGCTTCTGGGCCCCGTTGGCCTGTGGTCTCTGGGCCTCCCCACTTCAGAGCCCCCATTCTCCCGACATAGCACTCCAGAACACTGCTGGACTCGGACGTCTACCGAAAACACTGCTCCTCTGCCACCACTCCACCCTCCTCCGGCCACTCGCTCTCTCCCCCGCTTTGCTTTCTAGACACTCCACATACAACCAAAGCAGCCCCCACTCCAAACCTCGGCTTCCTCTCCTAGATGGCGGAGCTCTGGAGGAGAGGACCTTCTCACGTACATCTTCATATTTCTCATCCAGGGACATCGCCTAGCCAAAGTCCCATGAACCCTAGTGTGTTGAATTAAATGCATCCAACACGTTCACTATTCACTAGGAATTCTACGTGTGATCCTGTTTGATGTATAACTTCCTGGAAACACCTTTATTTTAGTGACAGAGAGAATGTCTCCGTGAGAACTAGAACATTTGTTAAATAGGAAATATGGTGCTGGTCAAAACTTGGTGGTTACTTGGACAATTGACATCATCACCTAGGCTAGGAAGTAAAACTATATATATATAGTTAAATGTAACTATATATATATATAGTATATAAGCCATAATTGTATCTAATATATATTCCTGGTTAAGCTTTGATACAGCTGGCTATGGACTTGAGCAATATCTTATTCCAACTGCGATCCAGCGTTTATATGAAGTCGCAACTCACTGACTGTGGGTGTGGCTTCTCTGTCCACATTCACTATTTTCATGCACTCAGCCCAGTGTTGAGCTGTTCTTTAAGATCCCTCCTTCTCCACTGTCGGCAACCTAGGAGTGGCTGGGTCTGCTTGGTTCTCGTCCATCGGCTTGTTGTGTGGGTCCGGCCAGAG